CGAGTCGCGTTGATAGCTCCCGTAACATTCATGACTGCCTGCTCTTCTCACAGGTATACAGTTAGGTTTCTATAGAGTGGTAAGTTATACCTTAGCCCCTAACTGATTTTTCATGACTTATGAGCATAATAAGATTGTTTGGGTTTGATATGCTGTTCTGAAATAAGAATAAAAATCACTGCGCTTCATTAAGGACTAGGCCCCCCCAACAGGAATATCTCATATGACTAAAATTATGCCTGTAGTTAAGTATATACAGCATCAGGTCCAATGCCTGTAGGAACTTTAGAAGTTATCTGAGCTACTCAAAAGTAAAAGCATTTGAAAAGTTTGAAACACAAAATTCACCCTAAGTCTGGTACTTTAAGCTTGTCTTTCCATTACCAGAAATAACCTCTCCTGGGCTGAGACCAGTATTAAATTGTAATCCAAAAAATTACTTTAACCATAACTAGTACATATACTGTTACTATTGTAATGCTATATAGTATTTAGTATTAGGATAATCATTTAGTAGCAATTCTGAGCTGTCCTCTATGACAAGCATTGTTAATAAGCAATAGGTGTAATGTGTACTTCTCAACAGCATCAGAAAAAAAGTTAGAAAAATAGAGGGCTAGTTCCTGACTAGCAGTTCAAAAAGCAAGCTAAAACTTTAAAGTCTAATGTATAAATAATGAAGGACACATTTCTTTCCTATTTATATTTTGTGCTACCAACCTACACTTATCATTGACTGCATTTGAAACTACAATTTTAAACATTATTTATTGTTTCAAGTGTCCTGCTTTTTGTTTGACATCTCTAATTTTACATCCTTTTTACTTTAAACATTTATGCCATATATTCTTGTGAAAGCATAGATACTCAGAAGTGAATGTTTTACTAGCTGTCTCTATAGTACTAATATTCATTTTGACAGGGAAACTGTAATCTCTATAACTGTTTCACACCCCCTGGTGGCCAATCACCTCTCTGGGTATCACAGTTAGCTCTGAAAGGAATGTTTCAAAAAACATCAGTCTAAAGCAAGTGTATTTCAGTGGACCAGAATTAGATGGGCGATATTAAGACAAAATAAAATATTGCCAAGATCTATGTTAGCAAAGTATTTTTAGGTAGGGGAAGAATTAATGTTGTGGAGAAGAAACCTCTAAATCAAGAACTTTAACTGCACTGCCTGGGAGACAAAAACATTATGTTTCATTATATAGATTAATATTCACTACTCACATGATTTTTGATACCATTGGAAAGGGGTTTTTTGGCTTATGTTTTCGTAATCATGACTTAGTTTAGAGTATGTGAAGAATAGACCCACAACTGATAAAAGTCTCAGAAAAAAATGACATTGTTTACATGAACTAAATGAGCAGATATTTATCCCACCTACAAGGTCTGTATTCAGAGACAAATTTCTCAAGATTAAGAGGGGATTTATTTCAAGCCTATTTTAATCAGTTTTAAAACATTATCTATTTTCTGTTCATTACATTTAGCTCATGCAGATGTTTGATTTTTGCCATTACAAAAATAAGTACTTAAGGAAACCTCTCTCATAAGATTGAAAAAGTGTAATTTATATTGCTACATTTCACAGCAAGCTATGATTTAATGAAAGCATTATAGTTTCATAAATATTCAAACTTGGAACACTCATTACATACAATATAGTTTACAAATAAGCTTTACTTTCTTACTAAAATGGTAAAACTTGAAATTATAGTTCTTACACGCAAGCATATGATAAACATGCTACCAGTTTCAATGGCTGAGTAAAGGAGAACAGAACCAGCTACTTTTCATTAGAAGAAAAAGCTATCAAAATAATTCTGAAATAATTCCTGCTTACAGAAAACATTTTTTTCTGTTGGCATTACATTTGTTCATGTGCACAATGCTTAATGCACAGTAGACTAATTCTACTGTGCATTAACATGTCACTACAAAAACCATGCTAATATGCTAACATGGTAGAATTAGTCTACCACACATTAAGAGTCAAAAAAATAAAATAAAGTGCACTGTTGCTACTGCACATTAGCACTAGCTACCACGCATTTATGTAGTACCTCCTAATATGAGGTACTAAACTTAATACTCAGTAGAAATGACACATTAATGCAGTTGTAGACACACCCAATTAGTGATTATAGTGAACTTGCTACCTACAAATTCAGATTTGGTCTCAAATGTCTTTGTACCCAAGTTCCTGATCCTGCAAACACTTCCATATATAATCACACTTGTGCTAACAGTCTTTCATTAAATAGCTTTGTTAATTTCAAAGTAAAGCTGTGTCATTACTCTGCATTGCAAGATTTGTTTTCAATTCAGTTTCATTTCAATTCACCACCAGTACTTGCATTACACTTGTATCATGTGTAATGCAAATCCTGAGTGTATTAATTTAAACCTGCACCCATCTCTGTTAATTAAGGCCTTACCCTTGTGAGGATTTGTCCCAACTAGATACCAGTAGGCAACCCATAGTATAAACAGGCAAAACAACTGCTCTTTGGTGAGCTTACTGCTGCATGAAAAAGAATGAGTTGCATTGGAGAAAGTCACAACTTCTAATGGTTCTTCTTTTCACCTGTTTACACAGGTGCAGTTTATAGACATGGTTAGCTATGAAAGGCTGTATTGAATATGTTATCAAATCAGAAGTTCATTCTTAATTGTTTTCCTGCTATCCCTAAGGACGCCATGTACCACCTCCTACATTCACCCATTGCAGTTACATCTCTCACAATGCCCAAAATGGCTCGAACCAGACCTCAATTTGGCCCGTCTAAAAGAGTGACAACTACATTTTCCCATCTGCAATGCTTGATATTGGCCCTACTGGCTAATCACTGAGAGAGTGACACCAAATTCAAAGCTTGAGCCATGACAGGAATCCCTGTTTCAGGAATTTGTGCCATTTACAAGGGAAAAAGAAAAGGGTAAGGGACCAGAAAGACCCCACTATGGCCAAAATCCCTCCCCATAGCCTATGCTGACTCTCCCATGCCTTGCCTCCGCACAATACTGTCCTGGCCCCCTCGGCCAAGATGCAACTATCTGAGAAGAAAACATGGTCCAAGCACTCTCTTTCTGTTCCACTGGGTTTACCTAGGGTCACTCCAGCATGAATTAAAGAAGGGATCCAAAGAAAGTTGCCTTGACAGATCCTTAAGTCTGGTAATGCTGCAGTACAGCTGTACATATCCCTGAACTGCACAAGCCACGCAGTGCCAGCTGGGATGAAAAGGTCCCTATATGATGGGAAGGATGGAGGAGACTGTGCCTGTTCATGTCCCTCCTCTGCCCCCCTGCAACGCCAGCAAGTCCCTAAGGAGGCCCCTAGAGGGAGGCCCCTAGATGGAAGCCCCCACTGTTACCTGCTCGGGGGGTCTCCGGGAACCCCTTGATGGCCCCGATCTTCCTCAGCTGGAAAACTTTCAGAACATCCTGGCAGCTTCGCTGATGCTCGCCTCTACCAGACATTAACACAGCAAACAGGAGGATGCTCGAGAGCAGGCTCTTGCTTCCCATCTCCTAGCAGCCGCAGCCCCAGCCGCACCTCAGCAAGCTGTCCCAAGTACCCCCGAAGAGCGCCGTGCACCAACTCCGCCCGTGCGGAGGGTGAGGTTGCGATCCCGCTGGCAACAGCGCTTTTTGGCTCATGCAACAGCCAAGTTTGCCTCGGGGCCCTGCAGATGAAGCACAAAAAGTCTGCGGAGGACGCGCCTTCTATCTCGGGAAGCTGAGGGAGTCGGTGAAGCTTGGCCCTCGTTGCCGCAGTTGAAAGCGCCGTTACCCCTGCTCCTATTCCAGGCGACAAGCGGGTGCCAGCCCTTGCGCCTGGCCCAGGAGTTATGCACTGCGCGCGCGGCAGGCCCCGCCCCCCTCCGGCAGGCCCCGCCCCCGCCTGACCTCATCATCCTTAAGGAAACCTACTTGCTGCGGTCCGGGGCATCTATCCCCGCAGCGGGGCAGCGCTCGCGGTCCAACCCCCACCATCCGCAGCAACTTTTTTAGCTAAAGTTCAAGATCAAAACAGATTGCGTGTTGCCAGTGGTGCAGATCACTTTTAAAGGGCGCCTTTCGACCTAAAAATCAAACCTTTACATGGGCGTACGAACCGTCCCGGGTTTGTCTTTTTTTTAATTAAACAGAGACTTTGATATGCTCCTATTTGAAAGTGTGTTTTCCGTTTTGCTTTTTTAAAGACCTACGCAAACAAAGGGGCACTGCCTGACGGCACATGGAAATAATATCATACACGATGCTGTCCAGTGAACAAAGTAAATTGGAATGACCCAGTTAGTAATATTCTTGCAAGATGTTTGAAACAGATCAAGAACTGACAGGCGGTGCTACAATTACATGGATGGATTTGACTTTAAATACCAGTTTGTTTTTCCTATGAGTGCTGAATTCTGATCAGGTGGCTGGACAGTAAGATTACCACAAAACCTCCATTTTCAGAGGCTGAAATAATCTTGATTCAATAAACACACAATTAAACCTAAATTGTTTTCTCTACACACCTTCATAGGAGGAACACACTTTTATCCTCCACTACAGTCATCCAGTTCCACAGCATACACCATGTCCTATTTTATCCTTAATAGCAAATTCCCTTCAAAGTTCAAACAGTTTTTGGTAGATTGTTTTTCTGTTTCCACTCTAGCTTTGTGCAAAGTGATTTTTTTCCCCCCTTTTCCCTATTTGCTGTCTGATTTTAGTTGTTTCTACTACAGGAAAATATTATACAAGGGTCATTAAAACAGTATACTATTTAAGCCTTATCTTGTACAAGTTAAAAAATTCCAAAATAAAAAAAAATGTAAGAAACTAATTGTTATTTAAAAGGCAAAACACTAGTTTTCATGTTTTTTACATTTCACTCAATTTATTATTTTGTATGGCTTCGTAGAATTTAAAGCCATGAACCAGTCTCAGTGCTGTGCAGTATGCAAAGACAAATCCAAAGCAGTCCCTACCAAAAAGAGTTTAATAATGCTAATTTATGCAAGCATAAGAGACAAGAGAATGACAAAGAGAAATACACAGAAATGAAAATAAAGATGACAAGACTGAGAAAGGAACAAGACAAATGATGGGCAAAGATCTTCACAAACCAGCGGAATAAACTCTGCCAATTTTTGTAAATATCACAGCAAAGTCTTCAGGCGGGATCAGGTGAACTGCAGCAGTGTTGCAGATGTTTACAAGGAGAACTTCCAAAGTGTAAGGGATGACATGGACCACTCCCCAGTCTATGCAGGTCATTCTGGACTCTAACCGTCCCCTCCAGAGTATCTGCAATTCCACCTATCTTGATGTCACCCTGTTTTGCTAACCCATGCACTTGATCCCATCATCCAAATTAGTGAAGATGTTGAAGAATACCAAACCTAGGACAGTCCCCTGGAGAACCCCACTTGATACCTCCTCCTAACTAAATATTAAGTCCCTGGGCACATCCACACATGCTTTTACATGTACCTAAACTTAATGTAAATTTGCCTAACAGGCATTAAAGTGATTTAGGTGCACATCTACACATACACATGCTAAGGCACGTTAACACAGTGTGGGTGCGTAGAATGACTTGAGACTATAGTTAGTCCCAAGTCAGTCACATTACACAGCATTAATATGCCTTAGCACAGGCTTGTCCAGCATATGACCTGTGGGTTGCCATGCGGCCCGCCAAACCTTTTTCTGAGGCCCAAGGTCCCCCGCTTGGGACAGGAGGGTGAGGGAGGGGAGGGGAGCTGTTCACCCCTGCAGGGACAGGCTTGCATGACCTCCCACATCACATGAGCTGGGTCCCACCACCACCCCAAGGGCTGCGAAGCACAGGGCTTCCCCGGCCACACCTGATGGGACGAGCTGGGGACAGTGCCTGCTTTTACTTGTCTCCAGTTTGGCCCCTTGCACCCAGCATCCTGCCCACTCCCAGCACCCACTGGGCTCTGCAGCCGGGAGGCAGGGCAGGAACGGGTCATGGCGCCCAGCACAAGGCAGCCCCAGGGGGGTCTCAACAGGTGGGGTCCTGGCATGACCTCTGTGGGGCGAGGTGGTGGAAGCCGGTGTCTGCCAGGCCCTGCGCTCTGGGCTTGCAGCACTGAGGCGGTCAGGCACTATGGTGAGCAGGACCATGTGGGTCAGTGGGCGAGGGGCTACGGTGCAGCAGCCACCTCCCTCTGGCCCCTCCTTGGGCAGTGCTGGCTCATGGGGCTGCACTGCTCAGGGGTGGGGGGGGAGGGG